GTCTCTTTAAGCAATCTTAATATATAGATGGAATATTTAAATCAAATCTAATAAAATCAGTAAATATTATATTAAGACTCTAAAATATATACATGTATGACAATTGGTGTTGTCTTCTTTCTTGTTGGTGTAATCAAGATAGCAAAAATAGATTTCCAAAAAGACACGTCTAACAAGTATTTTATTGCATGTCTAGAATAAAAAGTTTGGTGGTGGTCTACTAAGTTCCAGTCAAATCCACCTAAAATGGTTCAATTTTATATACCCTAGAAGACATGATGAAGTAAACAAAACATTGTCTAACATAAACATGAATAATAATAATAATAATAATAATAAAATCCTTCTAAATGAGCATATCATATTTCCTTCTTTTCTTTTTGAATGCATCTTAGAAACCACTAAATCAAAATTTTGTAGCTAAAAGTTCTTCAAGCTTTAACATTGAATAAAAATGAACACAAATCACAGAAAAGATTCATACAACACAATATTCAGTATAATAAAATTTGTAAAGAAATTGCAATTCAATAGTTTCAACAAAATTAATTTTCAACATTGCGTCTAACAGAAGTGCAATTGAAATGACAAATAAGATTAAGAGGAACTAAGTATTATAAGTTGATAAGTCCTGCTAATTATGCAAAGACTACACACCTTTAATCAGTTTTTCTTTTTCTGTTCTTTTCTTTCCTTGTTTTACTTCTTGGTAAGTGATGGAGGCTTTCATTCCAATTGTACACTGTCAGGACTCACTGTTCCAATCCCTAAAATTATGCCAACAGATGTCCCACATCGCTTGATCAAAGACTTATCTCAGGGCCCTACTGTGTATTAGTTTTCAACTTCATGCAGACTTGACCCACAAGAGGCAAAGAATTTCATCCACAAGCATAAATTTCTTACTTTATTAACCATATTCCATCCCCCATTGGAGAATAACCAAGTTCCCTTCCATTGTCCCATCTTATTCTTACACATACCCAATCACATCCTACAGCTACATTACTATAGGAAGATTCCACAAATTAGGGTTAATTGTTCAAGCAAAGACATCAACCCATTCTAATAGCTTACCTTCCAATGGTATGTGGGACACATTGCAAGTAGTATATTGTCAAGGCTCTAGTCAAGGTGGGGCCCTGTAGGAGGGGACTTGGCAAGTGGGTCCTCACATGCAATGAGAGACCTACAACTGTACCATGTAATGACTTTGGCTTGTTCATAGGACATGGGATTCAACATTGGGGGAACCACACCCCCCTTGTTTCAAAAGCTTGGCTCCTCTTTCATACTTAGCCCATTATATCCCAACCCCAACAAGCCTCTCTGGACCACCTCCATGCTTTTTGACAACCCTTGTGAGATCTTGCTCTCTTCACATTCTGCATTACTTTTGAGTGTGGGTTTATACATGCTCTGAAATGTGGGGTGTTGCTCTCTATATATTTTTCACATAGTTAAATGTTACACAGTCAATCTCATTTGACAATGTCATATGGGTCCTCAAAATTCAATCAACATGGTTGGCCCCCAATGCTTCGTGAAAGAATTTGCAACAGATTCCATAATTGGAAACCACATACATCCTTCTGTCACCCAGAAACACAGCTGAACAAAGAACATGGATTTATGATATTGACTTCATGCCATCATCATTTCAAAAGAAATTCTGGATACCAAAACTTGCTGTGGTGGAGATGCGGCAATGTGCAAGAGATTTGAATTCAAAACCCAACTGGGCCAGCCTTGCACAGGCAATCAGGGTGCAGGCAGGCGAGGACCTGTAAACTGCTAGAGATCTATTTTTACGAAACAGGAAACCTGGTGAGCTCAGTGGCTCAGACACTGTATCTGTAGGTTGGTGCAGTGCAAGCCCTTCTCTTCACATGAGTGCACAATTCTCAAAATTTGAACACAAACAGCTATGACTTATAGACGTTGGGAAAAAAACAACTCTGGAGCCTGCAGGTTCAGATCCCTGACACAACATTGAAAAGACACGGATTCAGTTCAGGGAAAGATACAGTGCAACTGATTTTTTTTCTACAGTATTTTTTCTGCTGATAGTAAGTGAAACATGGTAAACACTGGATGGAGCAGGAGGTTTAAGCTTTTAGGGTTTCTTCAGATTCGTTGCTTTGTTTGTGGCATCCACTTTGTCAGTTGGTCCATTGTACAAAACCCACCCCACCACCACCCTGCTGTCTATAAACACATGGCACACTTGATTCTAGCACCCACTATTGTACATCATGGGTTGAACTTGTTCAAAGGGAATACAAGTCACCCACTTGCTCAAATGTAGCATAAGAAACCCATGTACCTTGTACATAACACAATGGCAAAACGTTAAACCCTAGTTTTTGATTCCCTGTTGTGGGGTGGATGAATGAATGAATGTGACTTCTATTGTTCAAATTTCAGAAACACTTGCAATCCAGCAATATCTACCACATGCTCTCCCAGGTGGTGATGTGAAGCCAGCTCTCATAGTTGCAGAATGATGCTTGGTACAAGTTTTGTCCTTTTGGGTGTGTATGAGCTTAAAGTGTTGGTGTTGAGTGGGGCTTTTTTCGATAACCCAGTGAAACACAAACACAAAGATCAATGCACCCAGTTTTCTCTACTTCCCCTCAAAGCAGCAGCAGCAGCACAAGTTAAAATTTTCTATTTGATGTTGTTCCATGTAAAAAAACAAAAAAACAAAAAATGTAATTACAAAGGCTGGTGAGGATAGACATTCATCTCCAACAAGACATGCCCTCCTCAATAATTAGAGGGTGGGGGGTCTCCTTGTCAAGCACTCTCGACAAGCATAGTGCCCATCCATGATGCAGTTCAGCTTTTCTACTTTATCTTTTTTTCCTCAATTTTAATGTTTATCCTCCTCATATGTTTGTTTCCCAATGTGGTGTCTCCATCTCTTCCAGGTTTGTGCCATGCTTGAGACAACTCCAGAAACAGAAAAGTCTGCACCTGTTGGGTGAAGCATCACACAAGCCTTGTCCCCACTGGTATTCAGTACTACTGAATGAATGCTGTGTTTTCTCTCCCCCCCCCCATTTCCAAAATTGCAGAGCTGAATGTCCAGACTGTAGCCTGCAATGTGGGCTAGTGGACACTTATTTGTCATGAATTTGTCTCCCTCCCTCCCTCCCTCCCTCCCTCCCATGCCACACACCCATACACAGTAAAATAAGTTTGTAAAGAGAGAGAAGTTTCATGGAGATTCTGCAGGTCCTTCAAAAACCCTGGGATCTATGTGAACTGAGGTGGGAAATCTCAAGAAAAATATTAAAAAAAAAATTGTAAAAATTAAACTTGTGGAGAAATTCCATGTGAAATGTGGCCCTCTGCATCCTTCTGATGATTGAGTTCTCTTGTTCCAAAGACGCTTTCTTATCCATCATGGATGTTTCAAATAGAACCAGTATGCATCAATTTTAAGTACTAAATGTCATGTGGGAAACTTGATAAGTGCATTGCTTTAAGTGGAGGATTCATGGTTTTCTCATATTCGGCAAGTCAATATTTACACATGTGCTAGGTTCATTGAGAGGTAATTAGGTTTTTTACTTTACTTTACTTTTCTTTCTATTGACATTTCTTTTTATTTTTTTCTTTTCTAGAGGAGTATATTCACATGGAAAGATAATGGATGGCATGAAGGTTTTAAAATTTCTCTGTTCCAGCAATTCTGTACAACATGTGAAGTTACAAAACAAAATGATGATGGTGACTTATGTTTATTTCTTGGGTTTAAATTAGGTTTGAAAATCTTATTGATTCATGATTAATGAAGATATGAAGACAATTCCTTCTAATAAAGATATATATATATATATATATATATAGAGAGAGAGAGAGAGAGAGAGAGAGAGAGATGCATAATATGCAAAGATTAATAAAATAATAAGGATATATATATATATATATATATAAATATATATTTATATATAGAGAGAGAGATGCATAATATACAAAGATTAATAGCAACCAAATAATCTCTATGTTGATAAATCATCCATGATAAATTTTTATAAACCCTGTCAAACCCAAATTTTATGTTGACAAATTTCTACAACTTGAATTATTTTAGAACACTCTTATTTGGAAGTGTTTTTTTATTAGTAGACCCTCTTATCCACTATTAAAATAAGTAAACAGAACATTATAAGCTTGCATTTTGGGTCATGACAATTGATGTTGCACAAAGGTTCCCAAAGGTTCCATGTCCTTTGACACATCATCCACCAACAACAACAACAGCCAACTCCCTTTTTGCAAGTTCCAAACCCCTTCATTAATGAAGCACGCACACCTTCCCTCTCCAAAACTCCTAAATCAAAGGATTCCAAAATGAGGCCATGTGACAGCTCCGTCGCTGGTGCTGGCAATACGAACGAACCTGCATGAAGTTGACCTTGATCTCATATATATGGTTCCGTGGATTTTTTAATAAAATTATGGGATATATCCAACAGGAAAGAAGGATGATGCCACTCAACCCATGAGCAGGCAATCCAATTCTGCAATGCGGATCCATTTCGTCTTCAAAATTCCTCTCTTGGATATTCAAATCAGTGCAATGTCTCATAAGCCCGAGGAATTTGTGCAACCCAACACAAATCAGTGGCGGGGGAATTTACTGGGGAGAGCAGGACATGAATGCGGAGCTGACTGAGCTCGAGTTTGCAAGCTTGAGGGAGGTGGAGGGAGATGGAGATGGAGAGGAAGAGTGGGACGAAGATGACGACGACGACTAGGGAGATGGCGTTTTGGCGTCGCTAGTGTGTGAGGGAGGGAGGGTCTGACAGGAATGGTAGGGCTGTCGCCTGGCACGTGATAGCAGAGCCGCACAGAAGCAGGAGGTGGGGAGTTGGGGGGGGGGGTGTGTGTGTCCTGACGCTGCATCTGCATGTGCTGCCGCATCCTCTCATCATCATCATGTTCAGCATTTTCATCGTCTGGAATCAACCCCGGTTCCCAACTTTCTGCCGGGCCCGTCCTTCAATCCCCGCTTGGTGCTGCTGTTGAACAGGCTACTTGCTGCCAGCACTCGGCCTGATAACCAATCTCTGTCTCATTTCGTCGACGACTGAGTTACTTCTATTGGTACATTGGCTTAGACTTCGGGTGCAGTTGATCTTGTCACTGTTCTCACACCTGATAGCAGTCTTAACAGTGGCAGGGGGGGTGGTGCAGTTCGTCACGGCCGGTTTAGTCAACATCGTCGCCCTGCAGGCCAGCTGACTGGAGAAAACGAAGAGTTGCGACAGAGAGCTAGAGAGAGAGCGAGAGATAGGAAGAGTGTGTATAGGGAGGAAGCGAGGTCCTGCGTTTGCGAGAGAAGGGAAAGGGTTGCAGAGAGGGGGAGGAAGAAAAGTCGGACTCACAGCCAGCCGAAGTGGCCCATGCTGTTGGCTTCTTGGTTGCCCTGGGCGGTTGCAGGGCTCTATAGTGTGTTTCCCGCATTGATAGGGCGTGGAAGTGGTGTGACAAGGGCGATTTGTGGAAGATTTTAATGTGCAGAAGAAAATAGTGGATCTTTCAAGTTCAGGACAGGGAGGGATAGTGACAGGCATCATCAAGAAGGGATATCTCGTTAGCGGCAAACTTTCAAAGGTTTCTGCATGGAGTGGACCGCGAGCGATATCACTCTGACTATTGTCTATTGTTGTGATCGTAATGCGATATTAACAGTCTATGGTTTTCCCGCGTATTCTCATACTCCCAGTCTATTCGGAGGTGAAGCACAAGATAGTGGAAGCTGGTCCGAGGAAATTCCGGTTGTGTAGTCTCACGCAAACTCTGCTTAGGGTGACGGGGCCCAGTGTCTTAAGAGCCGATGGCGAGTTATCCTTTTCGACATGGATATTCTTTCGCGGCAGGGTGTTAACATCGGCTCCATGTTGATACGGAACTTATCGATTAAGCTCATGGTCCATGACGTCATGATTCCGCCTATGCTGGCTCTGAGCTATCTCTTCTCCCGGCTACAGCGCTGCTCTTTAATTTATTCAGCAGCAACGATGACAGCAGCGCCCGTATGGTCTTTGCGTTAAGTAGTTTCTTTGTCAAACCAACAATCGACGCTCAAATAGCAAGCTTTGGATTAATATGTTCACTTGTTGTAGTCAATGTGAGATAAGCGAGATTCGATCGCGGCTTGACATCACCTGATTAGAACCACAGCGGAAACTGAGGAGCTTTCTTGCCCCTGACAGTTGTCGTTGCGACTTGAAGGTGCTTGTTCAGATTCAATTTATGACGCCATTACATCGTCTGGAGTTTGCGATGGTTTTCTATTCGATTTGTGCTTGTGTTTGACCGATTTACTAGGACTTTTCTCTAATCGCAGTAAAGGACGGTGTACATAGGCGTTCGTAAGCACAATTCCAAGCAGAAAGAAAGCAGAAACATGGGGTCCAAAAGAACAGAAGAAGTATTGTTGCATCAGATTTCGCTCCCAGCTCGGAGAGACTATCAACTCCGAAGCTGCTCCATGAAGGCAAACGCCTTAAATATTTCCTCTTCGCAGCTGGTGGCTCGCGCATTTCAAAATGCCAGGGCAATAAGCTTCAATGCTTCGCACGCTGAGGTTCCATTCGTCTTGAATCAGGCTCCCAATCAACGTGCTTTCTTCAGTGGTCCTCTATCCAGCCAGGCCACCGCCATGGACCTTCCTGTCCGTGCAGGTACCACTGCTTGCGGTCATGTCCGTGAGGGTAGTGAGAGCGAGGCGTCGTTTGCTACGGCTGGTAGTATGGGTCACAGCGATGATCTCTCAGAGGTTAGTCAAGAACAATCGAAAGATACTGTACGCCGTGCGTTGGACAGAACGGCCCTCATTAAGGAGCAACACACAAGCACGAGGAGCATTCAATCTTTGAACAAATTGGTAAGAGCAGACAATTTTTCGGGAGCTGTGAAACCTTCGAACATACTTACTACTAGACGAGCTGTAAGTGGAGACCTGGGAACGCCAAAGTTGAGCGTGGACACCCGAGCTCGTAGTACTGAGAGTAGGGGAGGAACAAGGTCGAGCTTTAACAACCGAGGTCGGAGCAGTGAGGTTACAAGGGCATCACGGTCGAACTTGGACAACCGAGCTGAGAGTAGTAAAATCATGAGGACGTCAAGGTCTACTTTGGACAGCCGAGGCCGTGACACTGACGTTTTGCTTGCTTCTCTGGTAGCTAATCCTTTAAAAATGAATTCACAAAGTGGTGCGAAAGTGAGCAACGCTGATATTGGATCAAAATCAAGAGAGAAAGGATCAGGAGAGAGCAGACGAAGACCTACAGCATCCATAGCTTGGGACAGCTTAAACAAGTCTCAAGAAAACAGCCCTCAGCATGAACTTGCGGCTATTCCATTCAAGTGGGAGGAGGCCCCAGGTAAGCCCATCACCATTGCCGCTGCCGCTGAGAGAGCAATGGCAAGGCAGTTTCTGAAGCAGGGCGGTGAGTCAAGAAGCCCTCATGTGCAGAAAGAGACAGCGAGGAAAGTGCGTACAGTAGCAATATCGCCTTGTGAAGGAGCGGAAATGTCAGGGCGTGAGATGGTCTCATCTCCTAACGGGATGCTTACATCCCCTAACAGCAGTTTCAGGAGCAGCCATCGATTTTACGCGCGCAACGCTCTCGGAGAAAAAAGTTTTGGCCCTCGAAATAGCGTGGACAGCGCGCATGTCATATCAGAGGTGGAGACCGAAGCCCACATTGATCTCGTGGCCCCAGCTGCTGCCAAATTTCTCGTGGAGAATTGGGTTTCGCCCAACGTCACACCTGAGCCCAACCTGACCACTACGATCCCTTTCCAATGGGAAGAAGTACCTGGTGTTCCAAAGGTCGATGAGGAGGCAATTAGCAGCAAGCCCGTTCAGCTCCAATTACCACCTCGGCTCATCGCTCCCCCACCCATGCCAGTAGATTCCATGTCCAAGGAGGAGATGAGAGGCAGACAACGAACACGCTCCATGAGCGGTCCCCTCGCAGGTTACTACCCCCACACCTCCCCAGCACGGAGACGACAACAACAGCAATCCCCTCCCGTCATGCGCTCCTGCTCGCCTTCCAAGAGGTCTATCTCTCCTTCCAAGATTCAAGCCTTGGCTAAACACTTCACTCGCAAAGCTTCTCCCACGAGACGTACCGATAATTCGTGGGAGGCCCAAAATTGGACCGGCGCTGGGAACAGAAATCATCGCCATCGCTACACACATGATTCCAGCTCGGGTCCGTCAGAGGACTTACGAGATAGGGAAGTTAGCCCTTACGATGCACTCGGAAGGAGCGTTTCAGGGGCGAGAGCGATATCCGAGTTCGCAACTTCTCAGCAAGATGAGCCCAGAATGCGCGCTGCCCGCAGCTTCGCTTCTGGTCCTCTCGATTCATTTGCTAAACCATCTAATGCCCGATACAGTTCTCCCTCAAAGAGATCAATATCTCCATCCAGGATACACGCCCTTGCAAAACAACTGAATTGCAAGGCATCGCCCGAGGTGACCACCTTACAAGAATCACACTGGCCTTTGTCCATGAAACATGAGGTCAGGCGTCCGAACTCCTTCACGCTAGCGCAAGTCTCTGTTTCCCTTGACCGAGGGAACGTCAATGCTGGAGCGGCCACGGAGAGCTTTAAGCGCCAAGGAACAACACCCCGCGAAGCAATCTCCTCTAATCCTCATGATTGGGTTGAGAAGCCCCAAGAATTACGACGTGATCCATGGTCGCCCACGAGTATTCTTCAAGGCCCAAATGACGACAGCGAAGCCCACGCTTCCGGCCCCTCATCAGCCTCCGACATGGACACGCAGACTCAATCCTCGACTCAGGCAACCACTCCTGTCTCCGTTACCCTTTCAAAATCCCTCTACAAATCGTTATCCCGTGTATCATATGAATCGTTTGAGCACTCGTTCACAGAGCCTACAAGTCCTGGCCACGGATGTCCACCAACTGCCGAGGATGCAGAATCGAATTCTCCGCTTGGTTCTCCCTATCTCGGCCCAACTTCTGCAGATTATAGAGGAAAAGTATCTGTAGGAGGAGCTGCCGAAGGAGTGAAAGCCATCATCAAAATGTGTAGGTCAGGGTCCACATGGAGGAAGAGCAAGACGCACAGCCCTGAGATGTGGGCTCCCACGCTCGCATCCTATTTCCAGTGTTTGGAGGCTACAATGAGCAATCCTGGTAATTCTCGAATCGGCGTGATAACACATGTGGATAAGCAAGAAGGGGATAGTAGGGGACATGGATCAGCTCAGTGTCTGTCCGAGTTGAATGAATCGCAAACAAGACTGCCTTACACAATGCCCTCTAACGTCGAGCAGAAATTGGCTCACAAGGACTCTTTTGATTCTTCTCAAGCCGAGTTCACAATGTGCCTTGGGGTGAAGCTCTCACCCGCAAGATTTGTGTCAAGAGGGGAAAGTTACTCGAGCATGGAGCGAGTAATGGCATGGAGCGAACGGCATTCGGGTCGCCCGACAAATCACATAGAGGATGGATATCGCTCCCCAGCTTATGCCGCGACATTGGAGCTTTTGTCTCCGTCTACAGAGCTGACGAGTAAGAAGAAGAGGGTTATAGGATCATCGAGGAGAGTCAATTTGGTTAAGCCAATTTCAAACACAAGAAGGAGATCACACTTCGTGGTGAGTACCTCATTTGTCCCCATCTTTGCTAAGTTATTACATTCCAGTCGCTCGTGTTTCTCTGTCATGACTGATCATGTAATCAATGTAGGTAAATGTGAAGAAAACACCAGGTTGACTCAGCTTTAGCAGACTTTTGGTGCATGCTGATTGTGTCGTTTCTTATTGATTATTTTTCTCTTACAGGATGCTATGTGCAAATCATTGAAGAGTGCATTGTATAAGTGTGCCAAACGATGCTGCCGTGAGACAGTGAAGCTGCAGTATAACGAAGAACCTGTCCTTCCTAAAACGGAATTCAGTTTCTATAAGGTAGTTCCTTCTCTGAGACAGGTTAGGCGTCAAGCTCATTGTTTTGTGTGTTCCTGCTATGACCATGTTGTGCCCACCTAAAAAACTTTATTTCAAATCTAATACTCATTTCAACGCTGCCGTTGTTTCCTGCAGCCAAATTGATTGTTCGAGCTGACGGAACGAGTACAAATAGGTGCTGAAAAATTCCCAATAATTTACTTGAAGTCATTCAACTACTGTTATACTAGACAAGCCCAACCAACTCTAAAGAGTATGAGCTGTGGAAGTTGGTAGGTATTGATGTTTTCTAAAACTGGGGCAGTCTACATGTACAAATTATTGGTGTCTTTGGACTCTTTTAGACAGACTGTACTGGAGCCAGCCTATTTTCGTCATTGAGGTCCTGTGTTTCGTCCAACTTTGCATCGTGCACTCGCCACTCTGGCACATTAGGGTTGTGGGATATTTGCACATTTTTTGCTTGTCTTTTCATTATTTTCGGACAGATTGTTTTACGACACCAACCAGGGAGGTTCCTTCCAGATATGTAGAAATCACTTCATATCTCGCTTCACAATTAAGTGGCATTTGCACATGCACATACATATCCAACATTGATGTGGAAAGACTAGATAAAGAAATTTATAACGAGGCCCTTGGATTCATTGTATTTCGTAGATTATATCAATGCATGGGAATAAATCGTTTTTGGTATTTGAAGGTTTCGATGATATGAACAAAGCGGATGTTCATTCTTATCTTGAGAATTTTGAACATTGAGTTCTATTTCTTCTTTTTTCTGCTTTGAATTCAAGTCGTGTTTGTTATGTGACCATGTTGTTTTAATTCTTGAATCATGTGCAAAATTTAAAATAATTGTATTTTTTTCTCTCAAGGCTCAACAAAAAAATCACCATTTCTTTTTAAACCAAAATATTTCCTTACTTCTATAGAATTTACTATAAATATTTTGGTTTTATTGTACTTTAGTGTCATAATTGTAGTAGTAAATCAAGTGACTTTAGTTATTTAATTACTTATTATGTTAAGATTATTGGAAATATAACCATGCATAGTCTTTAAAAACTATCTATTTTTGTTGTATTTATCTAAATAAAAATAAAAAAATATATTTTCAAAAATTAGATAAATCAAAATAAATAGGCTATAAACAACTAAATTACACTAATATATATATATATATATATATATATATATATATATAGTAACAATTTTATGTTGATTAATTATTCTATCTAATTTTATTGAAATATTTTGACAACAAGTTGATTAATGTTTTATAACAGTAAATAAATAATAATAAAAAAAAATACCTGTTATTCCAAATTAAAAATACTCCAATTTTTAAAAACCAAAATTTTATTGGCATGTAACTTTGCAAACCTATTATATGAGCTTCAAATCCATGATTTAATTTTTTTTAAATAAAATAAAAAATACCAAAGAATAATTACATATTTTATTTGATATTAGTTAAAAATTAAAACTTATATTTGATTCAAAGATTAAATAATTTTGTTAATAAAATACATTACAAATTTATTATTAATATATTTAATTAAAATTAAAATTTATTTATAATTTTAAATTAAATTATTTATATATATATATACATATATAATGATAAAGTAGTACTAATTAAAGTAGAAAAATATTTAATTTTGGAAACCGCTAAGTGGATGATTATTTTTATTGCATAGACACATGTTATGCTATACACCCCTGTATATGCACCTCACAAAAAATAATTAGTTTTGATTTTAATTCATAATTCTTGTTATGTTTATTATTTTAATACCAAAATTTGATACATCTTTATCCATTTGTACTCTTTGGCCCTATACTATCTCAATCTTTGATTTCTTTGTCTTTGCAAACCTTTGTCAAATTAATTCTTTGAATAATAAAAACATAAAAGATTGTATATTATTAGTATTATTATTTATCAATGACAAGTAAATAAAATTAAAAAATTTATTTAAAAAAGAACTAGTTATTTTTTGTAGAGTTTTATATATGGGGGTATTGGGCATGGAAGGTGTTTATGCAATAAAAGGGAGGTGTCCACACATTAAAAGAAGGGTGTTTACCTAGTATTTCCTTCAATTTATGATATCAATGATTGTATATAAAATCTCAAATACAATCTAATTAACTTGACCAAAAATATTTAGGGATTTTATCAAAATCAAGCAACAACTATTATTAATATATATCTTAAAGCCAAAAGTTTCAATCAAAGAAGTTGTATAAATCTCTAAATTTAATTTTTACAAAAACACTTAAGTAATTTTTTTTACTTTTTCAAATTATTATTATTTAAAATTAATACTACCCAAAACATTGGCTTGTTATACTAGTTAAGTTATCTTAAACTATTATAAATATAATTTGAAATTTATAAGCTCTTTAAACTTCATGAATTTTTTATTTTAGTTTTTCTTTTAGTATGTGTTAATAAGAAGCATCAAAGCAAAAAGGTGCTTTGGAAAAAAACCTCACATTGAATTGAAAAGCCAATAAAAAAGAACCAATATACAAATTATCAAAGAATGTAACTTATTAGTAGAATAAAAAGAAGATGATATATAATTTTAAGAAGTTATTTATTAAAGGCTTGTATAGTAGATTATGGACTCCACCTAAAGTTGCTATCTTCTTCATCTTCTTCTACTTATAGTAGAAAAACATTAAATAAAAGATAAGACAAGTAAAAATTGGTGTATGTATTAGAAGAGCAGAATATTTATGTATGTAGGTAAGTTGGCTGAGGTGTCTTGTGCAACATTGTTCTTTTTCTTTTGATTTTGAATTTCTTACAATTGTATGATTTTTATTATTTTTAGAAATTATTTCTATAATTTTTTATGTAAATATATATATATATATATAATTTAAATTATCTAAGTAAATACATATAAATTACTATTAAATATCATAATAATTTTTTAATATCAAACTTTAAATAAACTCTTATTTTTATTTACAATACTCTTCTTTGTGGCATACTATATTTTATATACTATCATCTATATTGCATTCATTAACTATAGTAGAAAAAAAAACTAATTTCTATTATTTTAATATTTATTATAATAATCATGTAAAAATATATTACATAAAATACAACATACCTTCACCAAATATACATGCATATTATTATTTATAATATAATTGAATATTTTAAATTTAAAAACTTTAAATTTTTTATCTTCAATATACCAAATGCATGAATAAAGTTGAAAGAAGTATTTTCTACTCTTAAAGATTGTAGACATTTATATGATTTAATAAACATTGATAATAAATAAAATAAAAAACAAAATACTATTTACAAGCAAAAGTTTATTACTAGAGAATAATTTTAAATTATTTGACTATAATTTATAACTTAAAAATGACTATTTATTATGTTTAGAATCTAAAAAACCAATTCAGATATATAATATCTTATTAACATGATCTCATATAATATTGTATAAAATTATAGTTTATAATAACAATTATTTCTAAAATTTATAGGTCTATTTGCCAAAATATTACAAATATCCATTTAGACCCATTGATGGTATTTTAAGATACCTACAATCTAAAAAAACTACTTCTATTATTAAAAAAACAAATAAAATCAAATTATAATGCAATATTCGGTTATATATTAATTTCTTATTAATAGCCAAAACTAAAATCATAATACAAATTATAAGCAATATAAAATTTTGTATTCTAATATCAAACCATTAAAAAATTGATTGTTAGACAATATCATTTATATAATATTTTTGAATTTGAATATTAAATTAATCAACTAAAATTTAGCTAGTGGTTAATTAATATAGCCACAATTATTTAAGTATATAGGGACGTTTTTAATATTGCACAAGGTAAATAAAAACAATTTGGAGAGATTTGCAAGCATACTTATTTTTTTTTGCAAACTAAGAATCTATTATAGATAATAAAATATATGATTTTATAGTTACTAGATACAACATATATTGCATATATATTAAAAAATTATAAATATTTGAAGTCTTATGAATTATTTTTATTATATGTAGTATCTACATCTAGTAAAAATTCATCTATATTCCATGGTATATCAATATTTTTATTTACTTTTATACCAATAATACTTATATTTAATGGCATATCTTTAATATGGATGGTCTTGTTAATCAAAATATAATAAAAATAAAAATAAAAAATTGATAATTAAAAAATATTTTGTTAATAATCTTAAAGATTAATTGATTAGGATTGTTTAATTTTATTTAGTTTTTTAGATTCATACTATTTTAAGTATCAATAGAATAATTTAATTATCAAAAAAAATCTTATGAGTCATATTCATACATATTTACTAACAAATTTATTAATAATTAATATTTTAGTACTTTAAAATAATAATTTATTATTTATTAAAGTTATATAAATATTTTAAGTATCTTTGAGGATTAGAACTTCTTTAAAACTTATTAATGATTGTAAGTATGTAGAAAACATATTAAAATGAATGCCATGGTCTTTTAATGATTTATTAAATTGATATTATTTTTAATTGAGTTTTTTTTTTTTTTTTTTTTTTTTTTTTTTTTTTTTTTTTTGACTATAAGAATTGAAAAGTCTAATAAGATAAGCTAACCTTGATTTTAGTATCTTACAAACATTACAAGCCTATTTAAAATAAAATTTAATTTTTCTAGCACTTTCTTTTATATATTTCTAGAATTTCTAGAATTTCTTTTAACATGATTTTATCAAATTTTGTAGAATTGAAGAATTGAAGGTATTACTAAGTTTCTAGATCAATAGGATATTATTATATACTACAATAAAGTCAAGCTCATAAAAATATAAAATTTATTAGAAGAAAATATTATAATAACAATTAGTAGAGATTTGGATGCATTAATCCCATTTGGATTGTAGCACCTTAAAAATGGATAAGGAGATGAGACCAAAGCCATGAAGCCTCTCTAGGACATTCTTCTTTACTACTTATAAACCTTTGTGAAACTCAAATCCTTGACTTTTTCGACAAGATTATAGTTTTAGTAAATTGAAATTTTTATATTACTCTTGCATATTTTTACCTTCTAATTTTAAAATTATCCTAATTATTTTATTTATTATAAATATAATTTATGCTATTCTAGTATCATTTAAAAGATAAAAATATATACTATACAAATATATATATATATATATATATATATATATATATATTTTATGATTTTTATCATTTACTATTCAAAATCCAATAAAAAATTTATGTCTTCTTTCTTGTCTATTATCTATTGTTCTTAATTTTTCTTACTTCTACTTCTTAAATCTCTTTTTATCTACTATTTGTAATCTTGCCACAAGCTTAAAATCTCTCTTAAATAAGACAAGCAAGCAAATTTAGATTAAGAAGTAGATTTATCTCACACATTCAATAACAAATAAATTATCAATATATTATTGCAATATTTTAGTAGAAGTGCTTATTTATACACATAAAGCACAATGATAAGTTGTTTATGAAAATACTTGCATATATCAAAATAATTTTTATATTTAAAATTTATAAAAATAAATAAATAAATAAACACACATACGTATACACACACACACATACACACATATATATATATATATATATATATATATATATATACATATATATATTTCATTATTTTGTATTAAAATT